ATTTGGGGGAAAATATCCATCCCTTTATTGACCACAATTAGTCCTGGCTAATTCTAGATGGTTTTCCTTTATTAACACATTTTCCAATTCAAAAATAATCAAGTGGCAATTGAAGACACGGCTTCTCTCCCCAATGCGATCTAAAAGCGACAAAATAATGGGCTACATTCAGTACAGAAAAATAATTTAATTATAAATAGGTCTATGCACTGGCACTCAGCAACGGCGACAAGTACGCACACCTGTTTTTGCAGCACGGTCACGTAACTTGCTGTAAAAAATAGACAGCTGTCCGATTGGAAAATGTAAACGGACGAAACCACGTACTTGTCGCCAGAATTACCTTCATTCGCTGAAGAGTTCTGAAATGCCGCTCTTGCTGGAAAAAAAGTTACGTCACTGAGTGCCAGTGCACAGACCTAATTATAATTAATTATTTTTCTGAACTGAATGTAGCCCATTTGTCGCTGTTACATCACATAGGGGGAGAGAAGCCGTGTCTTCAATTGCCACTTGATTATTCTTAAATTGGAAAACGTGTTAATAAAGGAAAACCATTAAGAACAAGCCAGGACTAATTGTTGCCAATAAAGGGAGGGATTTTTGCCAAGGCAATCGTCTAGGCGAGAGCCGGCCCTGCTAACCAAATATGCAATATTGATGTGAGTCAAACTGTGTCCGTCGGCCTTTGTTATGTTTTCAGGATGGAGCAGAGCCAAATGTCCCATTCAGACAATGAAAGGCTTTATTGCAGGGAACAAAATACAATGGCACAGCACAGGAGGAGGACACGGGAAGATCTGACAAGGGGGAGGCAAAAACCCCGGAACTTAAATACACAAGGACTACAGTTAACAAAAGGGATCTGGTGTGAGAGGGAGCACAAAGGAAGAGGCAAATTCTACTCGGCATTTTTGTATGTTTTAAGACCTAAGCTCTATCAGGTTTTGACTGCAAATAAATAATATTTACTGAAATTCTGAACCCACTTGCCACTGTGTGTAGTTCATAAAAAGTCAGTTTCTTGCCCTGATTAATACAAAGTAAGAAGGGCAAGGCACGTACAATTTTTGATATGGTGAGTTGAATAATTTGAAAGGGGTGAAAATTACAGATATCTCCATCAAATATACGTACGTATATATTCGGCCACCTGATAATCGGCTGTTTGCCAAGGTCCTTTAACCGTTCGGTAATAGCACACGGGTCTGGGAGTCAGTCGCCATTCATCAAAGTCAGAATGTTGAAGTAGCATTTATAATCTTTGGTGGTTAATGCCCTGGCATAGTTTGATAAGCTACGGCACGCAGCCATGCTTCTATTGCCAGACTGCATATGCATGTTTTCGGACATCATCATCGTTTACAAACTGTGAAAGGGTTTATAAATCAGCCAAATGCAGTAAAGAATCACAGGCTGAGATGTTGCAGCACAACTACAACTGTTCCACATTCAGAGGGGCCCCAAGTATATGAGAGGTTGGTTCTCTGCCCCTATCCAGTCAGACCACAAGGCAAAAACAGGAGAACTTGCAAAAACCTGCTTTTGAACAGGCTCCTGTTGCTCATTAACTTGACTTGCCCATAACTGATGATAAACTTGACAAAATTAATCTGGAGTAAAGGACCATGAAACCTGCATGCTACAGTTATATTGAGGCCCAGGGCAAAACCAAAGAGTCTGAATATTTATTATACAGTTCTGACTCATAGGAATGTGGGTGTTGCCTTTAATATTTCAATGACTGGGATATGAAGCACAACTATGGCCCAGTGGTGGCTGATATAATTTTAATGCTTCTTCCAGCAATATCTAAGTGGCCCAGAAATATAATGGGGAATGGCATGAAGGCCTGCACCTCTAATTTACACAGTGAGTCAAGCTGACCTTTAAGCCCACAGAAAAGTAAAAGCAAAGTGCTTATGAGTAATGGCTGTGAATAAGAGCAGATGTTACCAACCGCTAAATGTATTTTAATATCTCCAGGTGGTGGTGGATGACATAAACTACTAGGAGCATCCTTTGATGCTAGCACAGGATCACATGCAGTACTGGGGTCTCAGAATCTCTCCATTTGCACAAAAGCCAGTCAAGATTGCAGCCGTTAACAATAGCTCTACCAATTGTAAATAAATAATTGTTATCTGAAATGTAAATGTATTTGATAATTTGTTCCCAAACTTGACTTTTGTTCCAACCACAGTTGCGATCATAGTATTTTAACAAGCTAATTTGTCTTAATTTGGCCTATTTTGTGTTTTGAGCAATACACCCTCCTACCTTTTTTGATAGATATTTCCATTCCAGCCATGAAAAATGAAAGTTATATGTCCATATTGTGATATTTTGGAAACAACTGCTTGAAAAGAGGTGGAAAAATGTAACCAGTCAAATTAAAGAATCAGTAGGTGTCTAATTCGTCAAACCATGGACACATGGCCAAGAAAATTGACCACTTATTAAGAAAGAAAATCATAAGGGTTGTGTTTGTATGGTCACAAAAATATGTCTGATTGTCTGATTTAAGCCGCTTTTTCTAAACTAGATGGAAAACGTCAGGAGTTTAAGGAAAGATGTAAAGGATAAAGACAAATTCATAAGGACTAAAAGAAAAACAACTGTGGTACTAAGAGAATCCGACTGCTCTTACACCAAGTGAAATAATCATGCCTCTGTTGCCTGTCATATTTGTTTTTTATTTTCAAGAATGGCCAGATGGATGATGCATTACTTTAAATATTGCTGCTGCAGGGAATTGTGGGTCGACGTAATCTCCAGGCTTGTGCAAAATTCCGAATTTGGAATTTCAATTCAATTAACTTGAAGAATTGGAATTTAAATTGGAATTACAGGAAGTGGAATTAAATTCATTGCAATTCAGAGAAATTCCTTTATAGCCAAGTAACAGGAAGAATTTGTCACGTTTAACAAAGGTTTTGGCTTTAATACTAAAAATACTTTACAAACACTAAAATTAAACACAAATTCTCCCCATTTTGAATAAGTTGTAATATTCTTTTTATTTGAAAATGAACAAATGACACAACATTGTGGTAAATGCAATAATCATTTATGACAGTTCTTAATTTATAGGGTAACATTGTTCCATCTAACTGTCGTAAGTTCCTCAAAGGTTTTACCATCGAGATGACATCTTTCTGGTCAGAATATCTTTCCTGCAACACTAAAGATCCTCTCAACAGGTGCAGAGGATGCAGATATGGCCAGATATTTGGAGGCAAGTGCAGCTAGGTTTGGAAAACTGCTCTGGTTTTCTTTCTAAAACACCAAAGGATCAGCATCCTCTGTCAGGCATGGTTTACTCAGGTAGACAGGGAGTTCATGCAAGGCTGTGTCAACTGGCACAGTGGCTGATTGGCTTGCCATGGAGGAAAAGAGTCTGGGGCGTTTCCTTGTCTGGGTACTGATGTCAGAGGTGGCATTGACTTTTGGGGAGGTGGATTCGATTTTTGCAGAGAGGAGATTTTTAATTAGGATGTGCTCTTCACCAATACACCAGTCCAGCTTGAATCTGGGATCAAGCGTGGCAGCCAACTGGAAGCACTCCATGTCCTCAAATTTTTGATGACGTTTATCAAGTGAAGTTTGTAAAGTGGACACAAACTTTTTGTTCCCAGTCATCCTCACATCTTTAATTGTATGTCATAAGCCTCTGATACAGGGGATCACAAAGCTTGATGTCACTGATTTCTCTGCCTGACAGCGGTCTGTAGCTTCCTCAAAAGGTTCTATCACCTCACAAAGCTCCTGGATGATTTTGAATTCATATGCAGAAAGCTGGATAGGGCAGTTTAGCTCAGCAAGGACATCGCTGGGAACTGAAAGGACTGACCTCAACATCTTTAGCTGGCTATTCCAGCGGGTGACATTAGCAGGCTGAAGTTTATGCATTCCCTCCAGGACATCAGTAGCATGCATGGATTTATGGCAAAAAGATACAAGTTTCTGAACTTTAGCTAGGAGGGTTTTTATTGAGCTGGCATCCTCTACAGCATCACGGACCACTAGTTGTAGACTATGGGCAAAGCAGGATGTTCTTTCCGGAGGAAAGTATGCAATTTCCTCCTCTACATTGACCACTTCTAGATCAGAGGTGTCATCCTCCTCATCCTCTTCATTCTCAACATGAATTGGTGGAAACAGTGTGAATGCCTTTATCATATTTGAAGCATTGTCAGTTACACTGAAAGAGACCTTGTTCTGAATTTTGAAATTCTCAAGAACATCCTCATAAACTTGGCAAATATTTTCAGCTGTGTGCCTGCCTTTAAAACGCTGACAGCTCAGCACAATGCTCTGCAAATCGAAAGCAACAATAAAATGGCCCGTCATCCCATAGAATGACCTCATCGATCGATTTGACCATAGGTCTGTTGTCAGGCAAATGTGGTGAGCTTTTCCCATCAGACTAGCCAGATGTGCTTTGACACAATCTGAGCTTTTTGGGATAAGGCTCTGGCTGAGAGCTCTTCGGGATGGCATTGTGAAGGATGGTTGGGCCAGTTGAAACATATTTATAAAATCCTTATTTTCAACAGTAGTGAGGTGGAGCAGACCATTTGCAATGTATGTCACAATGCTACCGGTGAGAGCAACTTGACATGCATTGGTTGTTGACCCCTTAGAGCTTGAAGTTGTTGCTGGAGGATGACCATCATCTGCATCTTGGTTTGGTTGGGTTGTGTGACTGCTAATTGCAGACTCAATCAAGATTTCAGGATGTTTCAGCTGTAGGCAAAAAAGCCATATGATTTATCTCAACCTAAAATGTTTTCAAGAGAGTATAGTGTAACGCATTCTACAGATGATTTGGTTTATTGATAAAAATGGCCTACAGCACTTGAGTCATAATAAAAAGTCATTTACAAGTGCATACCTACAGTGTACATTTAATATTTATGGTAGGATGCAATGCCTTACTTTAGAATTACTTTAATTACATTTGGCTGCAACACAATTCAGTAACGGGTGGCACGGGCGGCACGGTGCCATAGTGGTTAGTACTATTATCTCACAGCAAGAAGGTCGTGGGTTCGATTCCAGCCTGGGGCCTTTCTGTGTGGAGTTTGCATGATCTCCCCGTGTTCGCGTGGGTTTCCTCCGGGTACTCCAGTTTCCCCCACCCACAAAAACATGCATCATAGGAGCACTCCAACCAGTACCCCTGACCAAGGAACTGGCTTTAGAACTGGAGTTGGTCCCCGGGCGCCGCTCTGTGGCTGCCCACTGCTCCTAACTATAGGATGGGTCAAATGCAGAGGACAAATTACCCCATGGGGTTCAATAAAGTGTATCTTATCTATTATCTAACACCTTACTGTTCTAAATTCATTAATTACATTACACTCCCTAGCACTGTATGTGAAGACTAACTGGATTCTCTGCCTTAGTCTTCCCAGTTGCTTAATTATACAACCCCAATTCTGAAATAGTTGGGACAAAGTGTAAATTGTGAATAAAATCAAAAGTGCAATTACTTTCAGATCACATGAGCCAATATGTTATTTACCTGTGGCGAAGCTAGTGGGGGGGCACAGACACGTCACTTAATGACAACAATTAGTCCTGGCTAGTTCTCAATCATTTTCCTTCATTGACGCGTTTTCCAATTATCATAATTTGCAACTGAAGACACGGTTTCTCTCCATATGCATCTAACAGTGATTAAATCATGGGCCAAATTCAGTACAGTGGCGGAACAAGAACAGAGAATTGGGTTGCACAAAATATCCGTTTAAGACAATTATTAGTCCTGACTCCTGACCTGTTTTCAGTCATTTTCATAATTAACAGAAGGTTCACTCCGAGAGCACTCCACACTTAACAGGTGCTGCTTGTTCTCCCCGATTAGGTAAGATGACAATCATTCATCTGGACGCGTATTTGCTGTATTTAAATCACCGTTATTCAAAATGGCATACCTGTCGACTATCGCAAATAGCTGGAGCCGCACGCTTTTTATAACCAATTGAACTGCCGAGTGCCACTTTTTTTTTTAATCAACCCACACAATACCAAGAGTGAAAGTCCGCGTTTCATTGGAACGCGGACCAGTTCAATCAATGCAAAGCATTGGCCTATTAATAAGTAAATGATTTTTATGTACTGAATTTAGCTCATGATTTCATCGCTGTTAGATCGCATCTGGAGAGAAACCGTGTCTTCAGTTGCTAATTACAATAAATGGAAAACGTGTCAATAAAGGGAAATGATTGAGAACTACCCAGACTAATTGTTGTCATAAAAGGACGTGTCTTTGCCCCCCCATTAGCTACGCCACTGTTATTTACAATAGAATATAAATAACATTTCAAATGTTGAAACTGAGACATTTTACATTTTTATCCACAAAATGAGCTTATTTCATATTTTCTGGCTGCAACAGGTCTCAAAAAAGTTGGGACACAGGCAAAAAGGGCTGAAAAAGCAATTAAAGTTATAGTTGGTAATGTTGGAGAGCTAGCAAGATTTGAAAGTGGCACCTCCTCTAAGCTCCACCCCCTCCTCCCCCTCCCATCAGTGCTTCGTCCAAAGCCACGCCCCCACAAACTTGAACGCGCATCTGACAGTAGGACTCAGCAGGGCAGAGGAGAGCCGACTCAGCCATTTCAGCACATTTTGGACATCAACCAAACTACCTCATGTCTCATTCACCTGTAAGTAAACTATATTATTATTGTAGCTTTCAAGTTAGCATGTTATGTTTAGCAATACTAACCTTACACGTTTTGTGTTGTATGAACTCTCAAATGTACTTCACTTTGGATAAAAGCGTCTGCTAAATTACATTGTAACAATGTAAAGTTTTTTTCTGTTACAATCACTGACAAACGTGAATTTTGTGTTTTTATCTTCGTTATTTTGCTTGTTAGAGCTTCCACGAAGAGAGCATTGGCTCTGATCCTACCTACAGTCTGGAACCTACAAACGTCGCACTACAAACATTAGCTCGGTATATTACATGATTCTCTTTTTTAACTGATTTGACTACGATCTATCAAAACATCGCATTCAAAACCATGATGCGTAAAAACAAGACAAATCATGGTAGCCTGCAAGCTGTCGCTTCAATAACGTCCACCATCTGGCGAAACACTGGACATTCAACAGCATCAATTAATACCAGCAAGTAAGCGACGATGATCAGTATCCAGTCAGACCAATCCGTTGGCCACATTAAGCCGCTTTCACACTGGACGCGAAACAGAATTTTTCGCATGACAGATAACATTCAAAATCAAAGTTGGCAAACGTTACATATTTCATGAAAATAAAAAATCCCCCCGAAGCAAAACAAATAATTACCTGTCCAACAGAAAGACAGCAACCTCTGCATCACTTTCCAGGCCCTTTAGATGCCTCAGTTGTCTCCACCGCTCAAAGGCTGCACCAATGTTGACTCTGATTTGTCCTCTAGCTTTATCCAGAGCCTTTTCTGCCTCTGGCTTTCTTTTCTTTGCCTGTTTACAAGTAACGCTGGACGTGATATTTTTGGCTGCATTTTCTCTGCCATTATACTCTTGTGAACTTATTCTCCTGCTAACTTGGTATTTCTGCTTAGGAGTGTGCTGAATATTTCCGGCAACAATGAAACGTGATGAGTGTGCACGCGGGGAGGAGAGAGAGACAGAGGGGGGCATGGGCAGGACGAGACATGAAGGTATCTGATTGGTTCTTTCCAGTCGGACCAAAAGGCAGGGATTGGTCAGAGTTTTTACAGTCCTGCAGCTGCCACAGAGGTCTGATTCTTTTCGTTCCTTTTTCTGAATACATAATGTATTGACAACTCTCAGGATGGAAGGACCATTTCACCCAGTATAACAAAAAGTGTTTCTAAACAGGATTACCAACTATAGCTTTAATATATAAGAGAATCTGCCAAAATAACATTTAGCAAGTAATTAAGTTAACTGGCATCAGGTGTGTAACATGATTGGCTATACAAGGGATGTCTTAGAGAGGCTGAGTCTCTCAGAAGTAAGGAGGCTCTCCAACCTGTGAAGGTTTGCGTAAAAATATTGTGGAATACTTTAAAAACAATGTTCCTCAACGACAAATTGCAAAGGCTTTGAAGGTCTCATCATCGACAGTGCATAACATCATTAAAAGATTCAGAGAAACTAGAAAAATCTCTGTGCGTAAGGGACAAGGCCGAAGACCTTTACTGGATGCCCATGATCTTTGGGCTCTCAGGCGCCACTGCATCACTCACCGGCATGATTCTTTCATTGACATTACTAAATGGGCCCGGGAATACTTCAAGAAACCACTGTCTGTAAACACAGTCTGCCGTGCCATCCACAGATGCCACCTAAAACTCTATCATGCAAAAAGGAAGCCATTGTTGAGCATGATCCAGAAGCGCCACCGTGTTCTGTGGGCCAAGGCTCATTTAAAATGGACTGTAGCAAAGTGGCAAAGTTTCCTGTGTTCAGACGAGTCCAAATATGACATTCTTGTTGGAAATCATGGGCGCCGTGTCCTCTGGGCTAAAGAGGAGAAAGACCACCCCTCCTGTTATCAGCGGTCAGTTCAAAAGCCAGCATCTCTGATGGTATGGGGATGCATTAGTGCATATGGTGTGGGACACTTGCATGTTTTAAAAAGTACCATGAATGCTGAAAGGTATATAAAGGTTTTAGAGCAACATATGCTCCCCTCCAGACGACATCTATTCCAAGGAAGGCCTTGTGTATTTCAGCAGGACAATGCAAAACTACATACTGCAGCTATTACAACAGCATGGCTTTGTAGTAGAAGAGTCCGTGCGCTGAACTGGCCTGCCTGCAGTTCTGATCTTTCACCGATTAAGAACATTTGGCGCATAATTAAACGAAAAGTCCGTCAAAGGAGACCCAAACCTCTTCAGTAGCTGGAAGCCTGTATTAAACAAGATCTAATTCCAGTGGCTAAGCTCAAGAAACTTGTCTCCTCAATGCCCAGACACCTCCTCTCTGTGTTAAAAAAAGAGGGGACGCTACAGCATGGTAAACAGGCCCCTGTCCCAACTTTTTTGAGACCTGTAGCAGCCATCAAATTTGAAATGTGCTCATTTTGTGGATAAAATTGTAAAATTTCTCAGTTTCAACATTTGTTATGTTATCTCTGTTCTATTGTGAATAAAATACTGGCTGGTGTGATTTGAAAGTCATTACGTTTTGATTTAATTCACAATTAACACTTCGGGCCCTATCTTACGTCAGAGTCCCTAAACCCGTTATTTGGGGATTTAGCATTGCATAAGAGGCATTTTCCCGCAAAATTTGCTATCTTGCACACCTGCCTATATCCCTAAAACACCTGCGCTACCCGTTATATTATGCATCGGCGTGGTTTGGGCGTTACGCCAGTTAAACCAATCAGTGTGCCAGGTGCCATTGCCTTTAGGAGCAGGCTGCACTATCCCAAATCCTCAAACCGAAACCCGTGATGGAGAGAGGAAGGTCGCCACGTTTCTCCGAAGACGAAGTTAAATTGCTTGTGCACGAGGTCAAATCCAGACAGGGGAGGATCTGTTTTTGTTAAGTTAATCATGAATTGTATTATTTTATTATTATTATTATTATTATTATTTGACATTGACATATTGTTTAATGTTTGGTATGTAATAAAAAGAAACATCAAGCCTACCCCTTTTGTGATGGAAACTTCAAAAAAAAAAGAAAAAGAAAAAAATGCGTTTCGCCATGCACTTCCAACTCCCTCTCCCGTCTGAAATGAAGCATAGAGCAAAATCCCATTTCAGAAAATACCCACAGCCAAATAAATGCCTACATTGTCTGCAACCATTTACACTTTTTTCTTTATAAAGCGACTTTGAGTATTTAATGAAACGCTATATGAAATACATGTATTATTAAATTATTAGTAGCCTACTGTTTGCACAAATTACTTACCAGGCAAGCTGCAGATGACATGACTAGCGGTGTCGCAGCTCCACTGCCAGCTGGTCCCTCATTGCCCCTGCTACTGCTGGCACTATATCAGCATTTGGAGTCGGCACCTGTACTTCATCTTGCTGCCTTCTATAGTCCGGTAATAATCTATCCTCA